AAAACGTCATCGTGTCCTGCTCCGGCGTGTACCGCGTGCAGATCCGCAGGATCTGGGGGGCAAGGGCAGGGGGCTCAGCCTGGCGTCCCTTCCGTGCCACCAGCCCCATCCCTGTCCTCTTGCCCATCTCCATCCCCATCCCCATTGTTCCCCTCTCCATCCCCATCCCCATTCCCATCCCCAATTCCATCTCCATCCTTGTCCCCATCCCAATTCCCATCCCCATCTCTGTCCCATCCCCATCCCCATCCACATCATCCCTGTCCCCATCCCCATCCCTGCTGTTCCCATCTCATCCCAATCCCCAATCCCATCCCTGCCCTGTCCCCATCCCAGTTGTTCCCATCTTGTCCCCAATCCCATCCCATCCCTATTGCCATCCCTGTTGTCCCCATCTCATCCCGATCCCTGTGCTCATCCCCATCCACATCATCCCTGTCCCCATCCCAGTTGTTCCCATCTCATCCCCATCTCCATCCCCATCTCATCCCCATCCACATCATCCCTGTTCCCATCCCCATCTCATCCCCATCCACATCATCCCTGTTCCCATCCCCATGCCTGTTTTTCCCATCTCATCCCCACCCCCAATCCCATCCTGTCCCATCCCTGTCCCCATCCCCGTTGTCCCCTCACCAGGATGTCGAGGCAGGCAGCTTTGAGCAGGGTGATCTGGTCGGCGATGGTGAGGGTGGTGAAGCCGGGGAGCTGCTTGGCGAACTCCACCGTCTTGATGATGCACTTGGTGGACAGCTCGCTGAACTTGTCCCACAGGTCGATGTCCAGGGACACGCGCTGCTCCGAGCTGTTGTTCTGCAGGGGACGTGGGGGTGAGGGTGCGCTGCGGGGGAACTGCCGCACGCCCTGGCCCCCGGCACCCCCCGGCACTCACCGTAGTGTATTTGCCGAGCTGGCAGAGCGCGGGGAAGGTCTCCTGGTGGGCTTTGCGCACCTTCTCGATGAGCTCCTCCACCTCAGGAGTGATGATGTAGCTCTCCGTGCACTCGGGCTTGGGCACGTCCTTCTTCTTCTTGTTCCGGTCATTGCGGACGGCTGCGGGGACGAGGGCTCAGCGTCACCTGGCCCCGCTGCCCCCCACCCCCTGCTTGGAGGCTCTGCTCTCCCCAGGCAGGATGAGGATCCTGCCACCAGCCCTGGTGACAAATGGCCACGGAGCTGCCAGCCCCCACAGCTGCCCCCCAAGTCACTGGGGGCAATAAGGGGTGACACCGCACCCATGGAGGGGACCCC